CTTTTTTTTTTGTTTTGATAGGGAGAGGGGTCTGGAAGGTTTTCTGTATCATATACTTATTTATTTATCGTGTCAGAAGCGAATTGAGGGTACAGTTGTAATGTATTTAAAACACAAAGTTTAAAAACTTGACATGTCCTTTGACCAGTAGCTGGCCACTTGGGAGTGCCTCTGGTGTTGCTATAAGAAGGTCCTCCATTGTGCATATGGCAGGGCTCAGACTGCATTGTAATAGGTGGTCTGTGGTTTGCTCTTCTGCACACTCACATGTTGTGGACTCCACTTTGTAGCTCCATTTCTTAAGGTTGGCTCTGCATCTCGTGGTGCCAGAGCGCAGTCTGTTCAGCGCCTTCCAATTCAGTCTTCTGTGTGCCTAGGAGGGAGTCTCTCATTTGATATCACCCATGGATTTAACCAGCTGGTTCCTAATCCATCTAAAACGCAGACGTATGCTTTTCACCTTAAAAACGTATGCTTTTCACCTTAAAAACAGACAAGCATCTCAAGCTGGGAAGGAATCCCACTGGAGCACTGCAGCACACCAAAATACCTGGGAGTTACCCTGGACCTGGACCATGCTCGAACTTACAAGAAGCACTGCTGGAATATCAAGCAAAAAGTGGACACTAGAAATAATATCATATGAAAGCTGACTGGCACAACTTGGGGATCACAACCAGACACAGTGAAGACATCTGCCCTTGCGCTTTGCTACTCTACTGCTGAATACACATGTCCAGTGTGAATCCAATGCTGAATTAATTTGGCATGTGCACTTTGACTTTGGTATCACGAAAAACGTCTTGGCTTGATCCTGCCATTTCCCAACAACACTTGGTTTATCTTTTACAAAGAGAGCAGCATATTTATTTTTGTGGCATTCTTGGGTGAGACATAAGTTCCTTATGGCAGACAACATCTAATCCATTAAATTGGCATTTCTCACCACTGTGAAATACTGTAGCAATATAAACTCTGAAGTTATGTCTCAAAAAGGAAATATGCCGTTCAGTACCAAAAACTTGTCAGGGAAACTTGATGATTTATAGAAAGTCAGCTAACAAGTGTATTACATCTCCCTTCCTAAAAAAACGTTTCCCCAGGAATGTGCTCAAGGCTGTCCATAAGATATGCCAGAGGGACCAGTTGTCTGAAGTTAAACATCTTGAAAATTAAGCCTAACAGCTGCAACAGCTGTTTTAGTTGCATAACCATCTTTATCATTCTTAATGTTCGTTGTCTTTTCCTGTTCTCACGGTCTCACAATTTAAGAGAAACAGGTGATCTACTCCAACTTCTAGCTATACAAGCTTTTCTGTGTGATAAAAGGTAGCATATCCAATTTGTTTTTCATGTATTGTACAGAGCTATAGCTGTAATCTATCTTTCAGCTTTTATTAATATTATTTTGACACTGTCACTTGAATCCAGCAAGGGATTCTGTGGAAATCCATAGGAATAGAATTCCATGTATGCAGCCAATGCAGATGATGATACATCTCTGTGTCTACTTCCAAAACTCACTGAGGCCTACTATGATGGCTGGATATAAGAGTAATTGTAAACTGCTGGATCAGGGTCAGGCGCTGTTTGCAAACTCTGTCCTTCCCTACTGTATCATTCAGATACAACAAAAAGGTAGGAAGGTGGACAATGTTAGAACTAGATCCCTGCAATAAGCCAGTTTCCCTAAGCATGTACAAGTAGATACCTACAAACTTGCAAGGGATATTATGAGGCTGTAGCTGAAAAGTGGCTTTTGGAAGGTAAAGGTAAAGGTTTCTCCTTGACATTAAGTCTAGTCGAGTCTGATTCTGAGGGATGGTGCTCATCTCCATTTCTAAGCCGAAGAGCCAGCATTCTCCGTAGATATATTCTTAGGTCATGTGGCCAGCATGAGTGCATGTAGTTACCTTCCCGCTGAAACGGTATCTATTGATCTACTCACATTTGCACATTTTCAAACTACTAGGTAGGTAGAAACTGGGACTAACAACAGAAGCACATGCCGTCCCGAGGATTCAAACTGCCAACCTCCTGGTCAGCAAGTTCTGCAGCTTAGTGGTTTAACCCACTGCACCACCACAGCAGTTCTCATACCAAATGTGTCTGCGGCATGCCTGGAGAAACAGGCCCTCTGAGACGCAAGTCAGTCTAATTTCAAATTGTCTAGTAAAAATCTGTAGCTATATTCAATGGCATAATTCAGTACCAACCTATATAGGTAGTCTCCCCAATGACCCCTTCTTCATCAAACCACCTCAAACTTCTTCTACTGAAAACACTCTTGTTGGAAGATGAACAAGTTGGTAGGATGGACAGCAGTTCCTCCTAATCTTTCAAACATTTGAAAGCATGCAATTATTTCTATGGAAAGATCCTTCTAGTTCAAAATGCCCTTTATAACAGCGTCCAGTCACATGCGAAAATGAAAGTAAATGAGTGATTTCTTTATAGCCAGATTTCAAATGTACACATGGGTTTATGCACATGGGTAAAAATATATTGCAAGCCTTGGAATGGTATAGGTTTCCAAAGCAAGATATGCTTAATCCTGCTGCAAATCTCAGGAAGTTCGAAAAACTGGTCCTTCTTTTTACAGAGTAATGAGAGCCTAATGGATTTCATTTATATCCCAACTTTGGAAGGTTAGGACAAAACCATCAAATGTAGCTTCAAAGTTTGTGAACAATGCCACCTGCTGAGGAAACGTAAGTACAGCATTAATCAGGATTCAAAAACAAATACAGGTTGACTATCCCTTTTCCAAAATGTTTTGAATATGGTTTTTTTTTTCAGATTTTGAAACACAGTAGAGTCTTGGTTATCTGACCTTCGCTTATCCGACACTCTGTATTATCTGACTCCATCATGTGGCCGATTGGAAACATTGCACCCTTTGATATGTGCTCATGAGAACGTGTGGCTTTCTTTTCTGTGCGCAAAAACTGGGAGGAGGAGGAGGAAAGTGCATCTCTAAAGGGAGTGAAGGTGGCGGGGGGGGGGGGGACTTGAAAGAGAAAGAGGGGTGGGAGGGAAAAAATAAGGGAGGAGGAAAAAAGGAAACACTCTTCTTCTCTCTCAGCGTGTGCAGAGCCTCACTCTCCTGCTTTGGAGACTTCTCTCCAACCCAGCCTTGTTTCCAAATCGGGGGGGGGGGGGTGGGGGGTGGGGGGGGGGGGGGGGGGGGGGGGGGGGGGGGGGTGGGGGGGGTGTGGGGGGGGGGGGGGGGAGTGATGGAGCGTGGGGTTGCTGTGTGTGGTGCGGCAGGGTGTGTGGCTGGAAGGAAGGCGGGGGAGAGAAGCCAAGGCGGTGGGCCTGGCTGCTGGTGAGCAGGGCGGGGGGCTGGCTGCCTTCTGTCATCCCCTTACCTGGCCTGGTGGGTGGAGGATCCCCCTTTCTCCCTGCACACACACACACACACACACACACCCTTTGCTCCAGATCCTCTCCCTCTCTTCTCCCTTCTTTTTTCTCCCCCATGCACTCTCTCTTGTTCCTCCTCCTCTCTTTTACCTCTGACAGCCTTGCAGCAACTTGCACTTCTTGCCTTTTCCTCCTCCTCCCTCTCTTCTAACCCAAGCAAGGATAATTAGAGGCATAGAATCCTAGAAATGCAAGAGACCCCCTCCCTTAATAGGCTATCCAGTCAAGCCCTATTCTGCTTGGCTGGAAGGCACAAGCCAGGCCCTCCCAACACAGAGCCACCCAGCTCCAGGTGAGATTCTGGAGACAGTTGACCAATATAAGTGTTTAGCAAACTTTGGTTTTCCAGTGTTGTCATTCCTCTATGCTCAATATGAGAGTTTAGAGATGGTTAATCTACAGCAGGGGTCCACAAACATTTTAAACAGAGGCCAGGTCACAGTCCCTCAAACTGTTGGAGGGCCGGATTATAATTTGAAAAAAAAAATGAATGAATTCCTATGCGCGCTGCACATATCTTATTTGTAGTGTAAAAAACACTTTAAAACAATACAATAATTAAAATGAGGAACAATGTTAACAAATATAAACTTATTAGTATTTCAATGGGAAATGTGGGCCTGCTTTTGGCTGATGAGATAGGATTGTTATTGTCGTTATGTGTTTTCAAGTCGTTTCAGACTTAGGCTGACCCTGAGCGAGGGCCGGGTAAATGACCTTGGAGGGCCGCATCCGGACCCCGGGCCTTAGTTTGAGAACCCCTGAACTACAGTATATGAGTGTGTTCCCAACTCTGGTCTTCCAGGTGTTTTGGATTTCAAACATGATGTTTTGGTGCTTAATTTGTAAAACCATAATGTAATTTGACGTTTAATAGGCTTTTCCTTAATTCCTCCTTATTATCCAACATTTTCGCTTATCCAACATTCTGCCAGCCCGTTTATGTTGATAAGTGAGACTCTACTGTACCAGTAGTTTTGAAATACCATATGAGTTATCTTGGAGATGGGATGCAAAGCTAAATTAAAAAATCCTTTTTTGTTTCATAAATGCCTTTTTAGCCTGAAGGTAATTTTATGCAATACTTTAAAAATATTTTAAAACACATTTCAGTAAAGGAAGCATAGCAAGAAAAGATTCATTTTTCACTCAAAAAGACATAGTGAAATTCTGATCCTTGCTTTCTATTTTTGAATGGAGAGTTCAAAATGATTAGATTCTTAGATATCAATGGCATATTGGGAATTTCATTTTATACAATAATTTCACAAAATATCTAGGATGGGTTATATGGCTTAAATTCTTATATTAATACAATTTCTTTTGAATCTTCGTGGCATCCTGTTAATGTAATAATATTTTAATTATTGCAATTAAAAGAACAACATTCCATGAAAGGGGGGAGAGATTATCATTCCTCTTGATATATATAGCTTTTCATGATTGGTAGGCTTCTCCTTTAGCATTAAAGTAACACAATCTTATTCTACCAGTCTCCCTGCATTTGTGATTCTTTAACAATTGACGGGAATGCTACTTCGCCAGTTGAGACATTAATAGCCATCACTGCAATATTCTTTTAAATGCAAATTTTTATTTTGTTGCCCTTCCTCTATCATAGGAAGAAAACATAACAGAATTCTGTGACAAATTCACACCAAGATATGGCTATCATCACTGTCCAAATTCTGATTAGTTACAGCATTACAAATTTGTGCTACACTGCAAGCGGCACATTAAAGCTGCAAGCCTATGTATGCACAGATACTTGGATGTACATTCCACTGAACCAAAGCCAGACTTGCTTCCAACCATGTTTGTACAGGTTGGACTATCAGTCTGTTTCATTTCTTTTAAATATACCCTGGTAAAATGAATCCCCTCTTATACAGCTTGGTGAAATAAAATGCAATCAACACTATAAAAATAATAACTAATACAAATATAACTAATTTTTAAGCTAGGCAATAGGAGAACAAAAACTACATTCACAGTCAAGTTTAGTATTAGAACCAGAACTGGAGAATGATTTTGTTCCTGATATAGGATAGTTGTCAAACATTGTAGTGCAACTGGCAAAATACTCTAAATCTATTTACCATATTATTCTCTGGCCTTGATACAGTTACAAGACAGCTGGCAACCATAACCAGGACAATTTACACAAATGAAATCCTTTAATAATCTCCCTTCTACATGACATATCATCTCTCATTAACATTCTCATTAGACGGTGGAAACCATTGCCATTTATTAAAAGCACAATGCAGTGCATGGATATATACTTAAGCAACATATCACTAAAAGAAACAACATTTAAATATATAGCATAAGAATATAATTGATGTAGTAATTTCAATGCAAAATTATAACTAGGAGTGAGATTGAGTTAAGAACAATGAGAAACCGCATCCCAATATTTAACATTACGCTTCGAGAGTGTGCTTTGGGAAAGCGAGGTCAAAATGGAAAGGAATGAAAATCCTCCAAGGAAGGTGTTCAAGACCCGCAAAACTATGAGAGCCAGCGATCGTCAACAGCTTGAGAGTGTGTATAAAGTGAAGGAGTATGTGGCACAGCCAGTAGAAAAAAGAAAAAAACCCCATCACAATTATTTAAATCTAGAAGTGGCCCCACATGTTAACCGTGTTCTTGTCTAAAAGCATGTACTAAATAATCCAGTGCCATTAAAGAAGTTCTGTACATGCAAACATGGACACATAAAAGAATTCTAATCTGCAAATACACTTGTGGTCTGTGTATTTAAAAACAAGATTAAAACAGTTACCAGGCAGTAAAGAAGAGAAACTTTACAAAACCTCCTTCTCTGCAAGCTCATGTTGAAACTTAAATAATGTCCTAAACATGCATCCTATCACAGCGACTGAAAGCAAAAAACTGAATATACTCATCATCTTGTAAGTGCTTTTCTAGAAAAATTAACACTCATATCTGGAAATGTGACACTTGTCCTCTCAAATTGGCACAAATGTGCTTCCTTAGAATTTGAATTTAACAAGGCAGACCTGCTCCTTGATATTCTATTACAATGATCTTTTGATTCTGAGATAAAGAGATAAATGCCTCCTCTACTCCTGCATGGAGGGTGCCAGCAACTGGAAAAGAATGCACAGTGAAAGGTACCGAAGAATAAAATATAGTGAGAAATAGAAGAAGAAGGCTGTTGGGCATAAATGTCAGCAATCTATGAGTCAAAATGCCCATTTATTAGTTTGCAAACATGTACTAAGAAATATAGGATATATTGCACTACTGCTGCTTATGAGTATGAATTTGTGTGCAGCTTCCATCAGCATAATTGTGATAATTAATTATTTCAAGACAAAACCTTAAAAAGTTAAAACTCTAGCGGCCCAACTTTTTTATTATTTAGCACCTCATAATTCACAACGAGTGCCTAAGAATCACAGCCTCAACTGATACTAATAACACTATGTACTATTAATACATAGTGGAGCTATGGAAACATATGAAAAATATGAAGCTGAGAAATAGTCACAACAAATAGATAGATTTCATGTCTGAAACAACAGAAGTGATTCTTGCTTTCTGCTACATTTCCATTAAATTGTACAAAACCAGAATCTTAATATAATGGCTGTATTGACGTATTGTGAAAGTTTCGAGTTCAGATTGCTTGATGATTTTTACTTGGCTGAACAAACTATGCACCCTTCTATCTATGATTGTTTATTATAATGTATGGACTGGGAATTGTTGCTTGTTTTCCCCAGCCATATTGCAATCATGTACTTGATTTATCGTTCTGGCTTGCTAGGGGAGAAATAAGTCGAAGTTCTCAGTTTGCCTGTAACAGCAAACAAAGATTAATGGTCTGCTGTGTTGTTTAGTTTTCTCTGCTTTCAGCAGGTGCAACTGCACAACATGTATTTATGTTTCCTGGAACTCTGTTTTATCCTTTTGCCTTAATGAATTGTATGAGCACGCCTCTGGAAACGTGCCTCTGTTTGCAGGCTCAATGGCATGAAAATATTTTGTGCACATAGGATGTTGATATTAAAAAGGAGTAAGTTAGACACTAAGAAAGTTTCAACATTTTATAATACCACTGTGTAAAAATGCTTTTCTGTGATAATAGCCCATGTATACACTTTGGGTATACATTTTCTGCAAACATATTCCTAAAGAAACTGGAATTTCAAGACACCTTCTTTGAAAGTGTACAAGAGAAAGAACATAAAACTTACTGACCTTTGGAAGTCAAAACCAAAGGTTCCCAATTAGGCCCTTGGAGATTATGGTTTTTTTCTTATTATTATACCATTCACTACACAGTAACATCAGTAAATTAAATACATATAGCAGAACAACCAATTGAATTGCTACCATTATTTAGTAGAATAAAATATATCTTTAAAATTTCTTTATGGGGCAAAATATTTCCTTACTCTACTTTTGTTCAGACATATATTATCAGTATATTGCACTGAATTTAAGCTAACATTCATGAAATGACTTTAAGCCATTCATTCTTTTTGGCTACATTATAACAAATCAGATCTTTGGTATGTAAATCTAACCACCAACACAACTAGGGCTACCAGCAGCCAACTTTTTTAAAAGTCCTAATTTATAATAAACGTATTGCAGAAATTCAAGCTTTCATTTAATGGTGAAACTGTGAGTAGAGTCAACACACAGTTTCCTGCATAAACAATATTAGTCTTCTCATAAAAAAATAAAGCGTTTGAGTTACTCTTTATTGCACCAGCAATTTTTTTAAAATACTTCTCTTTCGTGTCAATCATGAAATTATTCCTCTTATAAACAAAATATAAGGTCTTCTTCTAAAATGTCAAGCAGACATGGAATGCACCATAGGAAAAAAAATTGCTCAAAAGGATGGCTACCATTTAAATATCACAAATGATAGAAAATATAAACTACATCTTTTTTGTTACATCATTTACATGATTTTTGTGAGCTTTCCAAGAAAAATGTGCAGACACTTCACCCTTGGATAACATCAAGGCGTTGGAGCAGGAGTCACTTTCATACTGTTAAGTGCTGCATGAATTCTGAAGTGTAACCTGGACTCCATAGAGTATTCCTTATAATTGTTTCTGGAAAAGAGAATAATAAATTGAAAACTGTCCACCATTACCATTTATTCTCTGTTTTATTTTATCTTATGATGTACGTGATATATAAGGTGTAGTAAAACGATGTCCCTTATATAAAATGGCAATGTCAAGCTTTTAGATAGCCAAAATCTACAAGAAGATTAAGATGCAATCTTTAAGTAACAAAACAAAATAAGATTTCCTTCAAGTAAGGGGGTGCGGTTGGGGAGAAGAAAGAGAAATAAATACATGGAGGGGTTGGCATGGTACTTCAGGGTTTATAGGATTTTCAGCATTCTATCTTGTTTCCTGTACTATGTGAGATCTATGTCAAAACACTTTCCAAGAGCCTCTGAGGTGCACATGTTCAATATCATTAATACACAGATAGGAGATTGGTCTAGCCTTCATGTTTCCAAACATAGCAACTGCACTGGGCAGCTGTGAGTTTTCCAGGCTGTATGGCCATGTTCCAGAAGCATTCTCTCCTGACGTTTCACCCACATCTATGGCAGGCATCTCCAGAGGTTGTGAGAGCTGTTGGAAACTAGGAAAGTGAGGAGTCTACCGTATACCATGCAGCTGTGGGCAAGTCTACATAGGGACCACCAAGCACAGTGCCCAAACACGTATCAAGGAACATGAAAGGCACTGCAGACTAACTCAACCACAGAAGTCAGCCATAGCAGAGCACCTGATGAACCAACCTGGACACAGCATATTATCTGAGAACACAGAAATGCTGGACCACTCTAACAGCCACCATGTCAGACTACACAGAGAAGCCATCGAAATCCACAAGCATGTGGACAATTTCAACAGAAAAGAGGAAACAATGAAAATGAACAAAATCTAGCCACCAGTATTGTAAAAAACCTCTAAAAGCAGGACAGTAAATAAAGAGCTATACTAAAAAAAAAGGGGGGGGGGGAGAATTCCAGACAAGAATCAATCGGGGCTAACACCGCCCAACAAAGGATGCCCCAAGGCAAGAAGCAGCCAAGCTTGAAGCTGCAAGGCCATTAAAAACTAATCAAGGTGGTCTATTTCAACATTCACACTTGCTTCCAGAAGACCAGAGTTTTTTCTCCCACCTCAGAAATTCCACAGATATATAAACCTCACTTGCCTCGTTTCCAATAAACCTCACAATCTCTTGAGGATGCCTCCCATAGATGTGGATGAAACATCAGGAGAGAATGCCTCTGGAACCTGGCCATACAGTCCGGAAAATTCACAGCAACATAGCGACTGCTCTTTGCCAGTGCTATCACATTTAACAATAACGTAGAATTGGGAAAAGGAAGCCAGCAGCAGTGATACTCCGAAGCACTTTTTCAATACAATTATTCTGATCAAGAAATTCCTCAGATATTTTTAGCATAAGGATATAATGGATGTTTTAACTGAATAAAAAGAATTACCACTTACTTTGCAGCTTCTATACATCTTATTGCTTTTTCTCTCTCATCCTGTTGTTTGTATAGAAGACCCAACTCATACATTGAATATGGAACTAGATAATTATCATACTTCAGCTGCTTCTCACTAAGAAATCAAAGGGAGATTATGATATTATTTTGAAAAATATAAAACAGATCCTAAATTGAAATTGTAACATGCTAATTACAAGTTATCAGTTAAAACTGTGTTTACCAATGAATTCAATAATTTATTTATTATTGTATTTATTTACTTTATTTCTACCCCACCCTTCTCCTCATGGGGACTCATAACATGATACAATCCAATACATTTAAAAACATGGCAAATACAAAATTAACAACAATTTAAAAAGCAATTAAATATTTGTGCCATGAATATAAGTTTAAATGCTGTTAAGATACAAAAAATACTCATACAATTAAAATTACATTTAAAACTAAATATCCTCCCCAAGGATCCCCCCTCCCCAAGGATCCCCCCCCAATCTCCCCAGCAGTGTGCCCCTCATCTTCCCCCAAATGCCTAATGGCAAAGAAATATCTGTTAAGAAATAATACAAAAAATATGACAATATGGAACTGTAATTCAATTACCCACCCTAGATCTAAGTGCAAAACCTATGTAAAAGCTATTTTTTATTGTCTACTGATGTTGTAACGGCATTCAACCAGTCTGTTTCCCCTAATTTACCTTTGTATAACTTGATTGAAGCAGAGCTCGGCTTGCAAGAATCTTCCTAAATGTTTCAAACACAGCCCTTTTAGCAGTTGTAGTAGACAGGTGTCATCCATGAAGTATTCGTTGTGATCTTAAAATAAAATGGCATCAAATTTTAAATGCAAGCAATAACTATCTATAAAGATTGTTAAATGTCAAGAGTGGCCATGACAGGTGTTTTGTTTTTTTCTTTTGGTAGGTATACATATAGCTTCTTGACAGACAAACAAAGGTAAAAACTAATCTACTAATCAAACTAATCACAGACCTTCCACTCTAATAGTTTTTTAGTTCTGACTAGTTTATTCCCTTTTAATAAATATATTATCACTCTTTTACCTTTAATGACATATTACCAGCTCACAAATCCTCTTTTTCTAATAAGTGATATTTATAACAGGCTTGGGAGTAATGCAGCATTCCTCATCACTGAATCCATTGGAACTAAGGCAGTGGTTCTCAACCAGGGGTCCCCAGATGTTTTTGGCCTTCAACTCCCAGAAATCCTAACAGCTGGTAAACTGGCTGGGGTTTCTGGGAGTTGCAGGCCAAAAACATCTGGGGAACCCAGGAATTTGAGGCCCAATAACGTTTGAACGACCACATGATTCCTGCCCCAATTTAGATGTTCCAGCAAGAATCTATACAAATGCTCCCATATATCACATTTAAAATATTACTTACTAGTTTCATTTTTTAAAGTGGTTTCTTCTTTTTCAATTGTTACTAATAAATTTTCTGTGAGATCAGTCCTCTTGCCAACAATTGAAAAGCCATTCCAAACATACATCATTTCCTGAAACAAAAACAACAACAAAATCCAAAGGCCTTTAAATAAATGAATACCTAAACCAATTCCTTTCATTCAATTTCTAAATAACTCTAGATTGTTCATGTTTTATTAAATGTGTATTTTAAATTAGCCAAAATACATTAAGAATATCCTGTGATAATGTTCTGATAATTTGTAAGAAACAATAACATGGCATTATAGAACAGCTATTAACCTATCACTATGACAATTTATTTAGGATTAATTGAAAATAAGTGGCTTGCAAATATTAGTGTTTATATAATAAAAGCATCCTCATTTCTATCCATGCATGCAGTCAACCATTCCTAATCATATACCACAAGAACTGATAGCACCGTGTACAAGTAGTCCCTAAGTTACGAACAAGATAGGTCCTATAGGTTTGCTCTTAAGTTGCATGTATATGTGTTGGAAAAAGTACATTTTAAATTGTAAGTACATTTTAAGCCATATATATATAGATAGAGATATATAGATAGATACATAGATAGAGCGCTTTGGATAGCACAGGGAGGGGTTAACACCCCTGTGATGTTTGTTTTGCTGTCTGTTCAGAAGATTTCCCGTCACTTTCTGTCCCTGTGAGAATTGGATTTTGAAAAATGTGCCTTTGTTATGGAAACAAGGATTGGTGAGAAAAAAAATCAGTGAAGGCACATTTTCCCCATGATAACTCTTTTAGGAATTTAATAAGAAAAGGCACCCAATTGTTGTTGTTGCTTTCAAGCCATTTTTTAACTTACAGTAAGACTACAGCTAATCTATCACAGGGTTTTCTTGGCATGATTTAGTCAGAGAGGACCATTGCTTTCTTCTAGGACAGAGGTTCTCAACTTGTGGGTCCCCAGATGTTTTGGCCTTCAACACCCAGAAATCGTAACAGCTGGTAAACTGGCTGGGCTTTCTTGGAGTTGTAGGCCAAAACACATAGGGACCCACAGGTTGAGAACCACTGTTCTAGGACAAAGAAAACATGAATTTCCATGATTGCACTGGAGTTTGAACCTTCAATTACCTAACTGAATAAATGATGTGTGGTATCTACCTAAGACAGCTCTGTCAGAGAAGGGATCATCCATAGTTCATCCACCAGGAAGTATTCATACTGTACCCATTCAAAGATGTCTTGCTTGTGTCTAAACCTATTCCCCATGGAGTTACACGATACCTCAATAGTTGGCAGCTTCCATTTTCATTTTCTATTAAAGTTGCCTACATATATCTTTCACTTAAGGAAAGCTTAAAAGAGACACTGACAGACACAAGGAGCAGTATGGAAATTGGGTAAATAATAACGAGCCGGATTAAAAGGTATACATCAAGGGTTTTCCCCCCCATAAGGCCAAGGGGAAATGTGTTTATCCTACTTTATTCACTGAGAAACATACACACAAGTTCATATTTACTCTGTCACTCAAAAGATGACTGAAGTAAGTCTGCTGTAAATACCAGAGCGGGAACTATTAGCTTCACTGGCTGAGCGCCCCCATAACGCCGTGCTTTCCTCACAGCAAACTTTTCTGTTGGAATAGATTTCCCTGCGATTCTTTGCTTTAGACTTTCTACTTGCCTGCAAGAGGAAAAATAAGATGAATTTCTTGGATTATAGTAACAAAACCAATAATACAAGTTAAATCTTATATTCCTGAAAGCTTTGACCTTATCCCCTCTAGGCCAGCAATTTCCAAACTTGAAACCAGTTCTGTATGTATCTTAACAGTAGTTCTATGCAACAGTAAGTGGACAAACATTGGATAAGAAGACCAAGTTTTTATGCTATTTTTTCACATGTTTTTAAGACACTGATATAGAAGTAAACAAAATATGCAAAAATCCACCTAGTTTCATATACACGAGTTCCATTATAAGATGTTCAGCTTCAAATAACCAAATAAAACAAAATTACCTAAACAAGGCAACAATGTCTTCTCCTGTTGTTTTCACATCGGAATCTGGAAGCATGCACAAAATGGCAGCTTTCTGGAATACATATATTGCCTGCACAAAATAAAACCAAATACCAAAGGTATTGATAATTTCTTGCAACACAGCTATTCATGGATCTATTATGAGTGATCTTTTGATAAGAAGGTGTGATACTGCAAAATTTACAAATGATTTCCAGTTGTCTACGTACATGTTCCAAGTTGTCATGTCTTCCCTTATTAATTTTACTTCTGTACGGTATTTTCGAAACTACCATATATACTTGTGTATATATTGAAAACCTTTTCCAAAACATTAGCCCTCTAATCTGGGAATGTTAGTATCTGGTGGGAATATGAAGTGGTTCTCACCACTTCATAAAGGTATCTGATTCCCTATTTACCTTTGACCACCTGCTTTCTTTGCAAAGCAGATCTGCATACCGATATGCTTGAAGCCAGTCCTGTTGGAAGGAGTAGCACCACATCAACTCCCAGTAGCAAAGGTGATGGATCTGCCTCCACTCCTGCTGTGCTTTAATGCATTCCTGGAATGTGACCTGAGCCTAGAATTCAAAATTACAGAAACATGAACCCTATTAAGTGTGAACCAATTTCCACATATAAAGATGGGCTTTTATTTGACAGAAAATGGCTGTAAAGGTTAGCAAGCTACTTATGTTTGTGACTAATGAGCAGTAATAATCTATGGGCTTACAATATATTATATTTTGCATTGGAGAACCAAGGGTGAAGTGGAAAAGAGACCTTTCGTTCTGATTCACTAGGAAAATCTAAGCACATACATTAATCAAATGTATAGAATTTGAGTATGAAAATACATCCCAGATCAAGTTAATGTGAACACTGTACAATACATTAAAAGTTTATGTGTCCTTTAACTCTCAGGATGTATTAGTATCTCAGAGCTGCATTTTGTTCCAAAATTTATAAAGAATTATATCTATAAATTGGGCATCTTTTAGTGCTGTCATCTCAAGATTTTTTTAGTTCTAGCTGCCTGCTGTAACAATGATTAATTTTACGAAAATAAAAGAGACAATTGTCCCCTCACCTATTTGCATTTTGCCATTTTGTCCTACATAACTATTAATATTGTCAATATTTGATAATATTGCCAAATTATTCTTTGGCATCATTAATGCTTGATCCTCTGCAAAAACATAAAACAACTGTTTTCTTTCAAGGTTCCTCCATTTGATAATTTTGTACATTTGGAAATGAGAATTACAGTCTTTTAAAATGTCAAATTTCTATCTTAAGCTGAGTGAAGATTTTTTAAACAATCCAATCATTTGCAGCTCTCTTAACTGGTTAGAGACATACTTCATACTAATGTAAGCATTATCTTGTGTCATCTTACAGAGTTAACAGTTACAGAAAACTGATGTCAATTGATAACAACCATGTTATTCTAAAAGAAAGAGAGAAACATAAACAGGATCCATTTCACTTGTTCTGAAAAGAATTCAACTGTCTGTTGCACTCTGCCCCTTTCAAATGTTTGACTCAGGTTGCTAGGATTTAGGCTAGTATTCTAGAAATTATATCTGCCAGTTAACCTTTGAGTATGCCAACATATGCACTTTTATGTGCATTGAACAAAAAGATATCCAATATCTTTTCATGGTGCTTTTTGCTGTAGTTGTTACACTTTAGGGTGAAATTCTATCCTTCTGGCTGCTATTTGGCTATGGAATGAACCTGGGATAATTCTGACTGCTCTCACACAAGCATGGAAGAAAATGGAGCCTTACACCAAGGGTGCAAATTGCGCTGTTGTCCTGTTGTTCCCCCCCCCCCCCCCCCCCCCCGTTCGCCACCAATGAACAAGGGCAGGTAAAGTCACCTGTGTGCCTCCAAAGCTGTACTTCAGTTAGGGACGAAGTGAGGAGACAAGGTCAACCTCTGTCAATGGTCTTCTAAGTACATTGGCAGAGAGAATTATGTTCTGAAAGCATGCGTACAGGATCTCAGTCTATAAAGAACGTTATAATTAAAAGAACTGGTGCCTGTGTTTGCTTCCTCACCCCGTCAAATTAGAAACATAAAACTCAGATTTCATTGTAGAAAAGTGAAATATTACCTTTTCAAAATTTCCTTTCAATATGTCTATTCTGGCATCATAAAACAGAATGATGGCACCCTTGAGAAAAATAAAAAGAGAGATTATAACCTGTAAGAAGAGTAAATAATAAAATAGTTTGTAAGGGGAAAAAGACTCCCAACCTTTGGAAACTTCTCAAGGTAAGGCTGTAGAAGGGTTTCTGCTTCTATAAGATTGGCTTCTCCTGTCCCTGTAAAAATAACAAAAGTTTCTCTCAGTATTGGCAGAATCAATATAAAGCTTTTCAAGGGAATTATTCTATTTCATATATTCAAGAAAATATATTTTAATGTAATATGATATTTTAATGAGATATAATCTAGTATCAATACACACGGCTGTACTAGAAACAGAGCAAAACACAAAATATTACTCCTCAAAGTAATAGAATCATAGAATCATAGAGTTGGAAGATACCTTATGGGCCATCCAGTCCAACCCCTTGCCAAGAAGCAGGAAAATTGCATTCAGAGCACCCCTGACAGATGGCTATCCAGCCTCTGTTTAAAAGCCTCCAAAGAAGGAGTCTCCACCACACTCCAGGGCAGAGAGTTCCACTGGTGAATAGCTCTCTTTACAGTCAGGAAGTTCTTCCTAATGTTCAGGTGGAATCTCCTTTCTTGCAGTTTGAATCCATTGTTCCGCATCCTAGTCTCCAGGGCAGCAGAAAACAAGCTTACTCCCTCCTCCCCATGACTTTCTCTCACATACTTATACATGGCTATCATGTCTCCTCTCAGTCTTCTCTTCTTCAAGCTAAACATGCCCAGCATTTTAAGCCGCCCCTCATAGGGCTTGTTCTCGAGACCCTTGATCATTTTAGTTGTCCTCTTCTGGACATGTTCCAGCTTGTCAATATCTCTCTTCAACTGGGGTGCCCAGAATTGGACACAATATTCCAGATGTGGTCTAACCAAGGCAGAACAAAGGGGTAGCATGACTTCCCTGGATCTACAAACTATAATCCTATTGATGCAGGCCAAAATCTTATTGCCTTTTTTTTTTTTTTGCTGCCACATGACATTGTTGGCTCATGTTTAACTTGTTGTCCAAGAGGACTCCAAGATCTTTTTCACACGCACTGCTCTCGAACCATGCGTCCCCCCATTCTTAATGTTAAGTCTCAAAGTGATATTCCACTTTAAGACTTAACACTAAAAATATCTACATTCAAGTTTTACGGTTGCTAACTCTGGGTTGCTGTGAGTTTTCCGGGATGTACGGCCATGTTCCACAAGCATTCTCTCCTGACATTTCACCCACATCTATAGCAGGCATCCTCAGGGGTGGTGAAGTCTGTTGGAAACTTGGAAAGTAAGGTTTATATATCTGTGGAATTTCCAGGGTGGAAGAAAGAACTCTTGTCTGTTTTAGGCAAGTGTTAATGTTGCAATTGGTCATCTTGTTTAGCATTTAATGGCCTTGTAGCTTTAAGGCCAGGCTGGTTGCAGCCTGGGGGGGGGGGAGCCTTTCTCAATTATGTAACAAAACTACTGAATACCCTATCAAAATATTATATATGCAATGTGATTAAAATATACAATATTTGCATAGATTTCCAGGATTTTTTGAGTTCTTACCAAGGATTAATGAAACATAAGTGTGGTAGAGCAGCAAGGTGAAAGTACACAAAATGGCCCGCAGAGTGGCACCAGAAGCTCCTTCCCGCAACTGTTGGAGGCCTAGTTCCTGTCAGCAATGACAGTATTTAAAAAAGGTAAGAAACAATATTCTATATCTCTATCAATACCAATTTTATTCTACTTACAGGGAAAGATCAGAATGAATAAAATGACTTCTAAGGAAAAGTAGTTATTGTGACAGCCTTATCCTTTAGTATGCTTGCAATACATTGTAAATATATGCTGAAATATTACATTATTAGAGCAGTATGATAGAACTTGTTTATTTTAATTTAGTAAAAATGTTGATCTATCTTCCATAGATTTTCTCCTTTTGTTTTTTTGTTAGCTGAGGGAACATCCTGAAAAAAATGTTTGGCCTACAGAACACATGGTTCCCAGGCTAATTGCAGCCCTACTTCTTGTATTTGTACTTCTTCATGAGGACACCCACAAATATTATCACAGGCCTTTATCCAAAATTTGTAGACCACCCAGACTCAACAATGGCAGATTTGGAAAAGGAAAATGCCTCCTTATGTTGTGCTCCTCCTCTTCGAAGGGTGGATCTACACTGTCCTTTAACCCGGGGCTGATCTGGCATGCCCCAGGTTTGATCAGCCCTAGATATGGTCCAGGCAGGGATTCTCCCAGCCGCTGTGGAGGCGGAAGGGAATTCCTACCACCCAACTGTACCAAATGCTGTTTGACCCTAATTGTCCCCTCCATCCTGTGTCATGGTAGTTCCCAGCAGGATGGCAATGAGGACAGTTACTCCCTGCTCCAATTCAGAACCAGCCCAACTATTCCCACAAGCCTAAGGCTGCGACTAACATGAGGCAGTTGGCTGCTATGAGGCTGATCTACCTCTATAAGTGATCAGTGTAGATGGGGCCATAGACTCAGAACCAGATAGAGTGATTGGCACCAGTTCTTCTATGCTATTGCAGCCATCCATAGGAATAGCCCAGTATGTCAAAGGGGTCCACTGGCCTTTAAATTGCTGGGAGAATTAAAGACTTGTGTGATATTTTTGCAAATTCAGTAAGAAAGTTAGAAACAAGTCCTAGTTAGCACAAAGAGGCAATATTGACTTTTTCTTCACTTGGCACTAACGGAGGAAGCTTAGGTGGTGTCAATGACATCTGAGCACAAAGCATCTTAGTCAGTGACAGCTGAAGACTGGCAGGATGCATAATATCAATGTTAATCAACTTATTGTTCCATAACTTTTGCCGTCTAAGCTATCCAGAAATTAATAATGCTTTAAGTCAAATACCCTATTGCCTGAAAATCCAATGAATTCTAAAAGCCGAAGGATTCTTCCTGGTAAAAGAGACAGCATCTACAACATAAGAGGAATAAGCATTACGTCAATTTTTCACAGAACATTCGACACCAAAATCTTCAGGAAAAAGAAACAAAAACAATTAAATCCTCAAATTATTGCTGCATAACATTTGCATAACCTGATCACATAAGTACTACTACAGTTAACTCTGAAACAATATACAGTGTTCCCTCGCTACTTCGCTGTTCGCTATTTGCGGACTCGTTGTTTCATGGTTTTTAAAAAAGAATTTTAAATGCAGTACTGTATACAAGTAGTGAGGGAACAGTGGAGAAGGAAGGAGGGGCGGATAGATGGATGGATCCTTGCGGAGGCTCAGCCTCCTCGCCCTCTTTACCTTCCTCCTCCTCCTCCTCGGCGTGGCCTGGATCCAGCCCAAGCAGAAAGGCCGGGCTGGTGATGCCGGTGGCAGTGGCGGCATAGGCTCAGGCTCCTTGACTTCGTTACCTTCCTCCTCCTTCTCCTCGCTTGCCCAAGTGGTGCCGCCATGGCACATGTGCCATGGAGCCCAGGCTGGGCACAAGCTCGAGCCGGAGGTAAAACAGCACCCAGACAGCAGCCAATCCCAGCTCAAGATCAGCGCCGGCCAGGGAAAACTCTCTCCCTCCTCACTTTTCCTCTTTTTTGCCCCCCCCCCCCGAAGGAACAGTGGGTATGCACGCCAAAGAGAAAGAGAGATTGATTGAAAGAGAGAGGGGCCATCTTCCAGAGGGAGGGCCATTGGGGGACATATGTATACATATGTATATTGTACATATACTGTATAGCGTCCCTACTTTGCGGATTTTCACTTATCGCGGGTGGTCCTGGAACGTAACCCCCGCAATAAGTGAGAGAACACTGTAATTGTTAAATGGCAGAAGAAGTATGAACAGTAATCCTCCCCCAAATTGTTTTGTTGTAAGCAAGACTCCAACATTATTATTATTATAACTACATTTGTTCTTTACTAATTCCAGCATTAGTGACATTTTTTTGTAGAAATATGTGTATCAAAATTAAAATACAGTAGAGGACTCATACCAAATTGAATGCTCCTATTCCTAGTTGCACACCTCCTTCAAACTGGTGGTAGATTTCATTTCTGCTTTTGTTGTCTTGGGTCATCTGGAGGACTTGATGACATTCTCTTTTGATTAAAAATACATTTTCATGTTAAATTATCATCATCATAAAACTTTAATACAGTCCATAGACCAAATCTGATCAGTGGAAAAAGTGCACAGCAGCAGCTAAATGGACTGACGGGAACCAAAGCTAAAAACAACATACAAATAATGTAAGTAGAACAGAACTGCATCTGTGATGTTATAAACTGACTGTAATTACTTTAGAGATTTCTTGTGTAATATCTTTTACTTTTGTCTAAATCTAGTTTCCTGGAAAGTATTTTTCTCAGATGTCCTACATTATTTACTGAGTGCCATCAGCACTGTTGGTAATTTACAGAGTAACAGCAAACAGGCAGGAACATGTCCCAGGCAGGTTCCTATTAGATGTGTTCAGCTATCAGTAAATACTGAGTCATCTACTCCTATTCTTCCACATAAGAGTTTTCCCAGCTACCCTTTTATATCAACTCTTGTGAGCCATTCATTGTCCTAACACACTGTCAGATTATAAACTGTGAACATGCTAGCATACACATAAACACATTCTTTGTTTAAGAAGAAACGGGCACTCAAAATAGTTTGATTTAACAAATGTAATGCCCTTTCAGTTAAAGAAGACATATTTTTCTTATTGAGGATTTCCTTCAGTGGCAAAATAGTAATAGCTGGATCTATTTTCTGAATGCTTAGAGGGGTGGGGACACAAGAATGCTCAGAAACTAAAGCATACCAACCTGACTTTTATCTTGACAGTTAGTTCACTATATAACTTCTGCTTATAAAAGCAGTGAGCCCTCCACATTTACTGGAATTAGGGCCCTGTGAATATGGAAAAACCATACATAAAACAGTATTTTTTAACTTAAGAGAAAACCTTTCTAGGAATCTCTAAGTCCTCCTGTACCTTCATGGAAATCCAATGGAAATTGATCACAGAATTGCACTGGAAAACCTAGAGATTCTTAGAGAGAACATTTTAAATCAAATTTATGAATAATAAAATCTGCAAAAGTCAAACCTGAAAATGAAAAGGGACAACTGTAATCATTTTCTAGACAACTAAGCTGTTGTATCTTTTCAGATATTCTCAAACTCATTAAAAGTAGGCGGTGCTATCTAAAGATGACATCTTTACCATTAGCAGAATATGTAACCCTTCAGAGTGTTTTGAGAACCCCTTCATGGTGAAACTAAGCACAAATGCCTCTATCCTATACCTTTTACACTAACAATTGCCCATCTATTAAAGCAGTGGTTCTCAACCTGTGGGTCCCCAGTGCTTTGGCCTACAACTCCCAGAAATCCCAGCCAGTTTACCAGCTGTTAGGATTTCTGGGAAATGAAGGTCAAAACATCTGGGGACCCAAAGGTTGAGAACAACTGAGAACTAAAGCATCCTTTTGCATACATCTCAAGCACAGAATGATCATTAGAACAATTCCTGAGGCTACCTAGTCCTGCTATCTAGTCAACATAGGATCCACCTACAATGCTGGATATAATCACTATAAATGGCTGCTCAGAAGAAAATGTAGTATAATGGGGCTTTTCCCTAAGTAAATGTATATAAGTTTGCAGCCTAAGAGGTCCTGGGAATGTGGAGTATTTATTTATTTATTATTAAAAGTATTTATTATCACTTTTCAGCTCACTAGCACACTCAAAATGATATTCAATAAAACAGGTAAAACGCTTTTTGAACATCTTTACAAATCAAAGACCATTCAAAATATAAATAATAAATAAATAAATAAATAAATAAAATAGTACAGTTTTGGCAACCTTACCTACGCTCAACATGGATGGGGCCAGCTTGACTTCCCCTTGACAGGTGTTTCACACTTGAGATATTGTTAATGAGAAATCACACCCATGTGCTCATCAACCTAGCCTTTCAGAATGGTGAAACTCGGAAAACACTTTATTGAGAATATTACGTTCATGAAAAAATTAGTAACAGTAAAAGATTTCTGAATGCCACCTATTTACACAAATCTGTTAGCAACAATGTACAGTGTTTGCGGTGGAGTCTGCAGAAATGTTTCAGCTGTACTCTACAAAAAGGAAACTTTACCTATTTTAAATGTATATATACCTGGGGCCATATAAAATTTATTGAGTGGAAAAAGTTTTCAAGCCTTGCACTAGAGGACTTAGAAAATTTATTGAGAGGTATTCTCTCTAGGAATGTATTAAGCCCTTCAGCAAGAGTTTATAGTAAATTACACAAGAAATACATCATAAAATTTGTTGGAGGACCCAGAAAATTCCTAGAGAGGACATACTTTTGTCAGATAATGTTATGTGAAACCACAAGGGTCATATGACTTCTCCCTCTGCTATCTTGGTGCCGGTTTGTGCACATATCAGATACACCTTTTTTGTGAGGAAAGAAGGGGTGTCAAAATATGAAGATGTGGGAATTAACAATCTTTGTTATGAGAAAAACACTAATTTGTTGAAATATGCAAACACCATAAGCCAAATGTCACAGGAACATACTTGTAAATCTGGTAACTCGTCCTGATTTTCAGGCCCCCTTTGATGAAGTTGATCATATTTTCATCCTACAAAACATGATTTTGAAAGGAATTAATTCAACAAATTAAAAACATTGTACAGTACTATATTAAACCAAATCAAAATAAGTCGCCACTAGATGGCACTAGACTTTTCTAAATTTAACTTGGTTTTATAATTTGTACATTAATAGCGGTTGCAAACAACTTTACAAAGTCAGGTAGCAACTTTATATCAAGGATAGGTGCCTTCCAATATTCTGGATAATGATCCCCATAATCCACTGGCCACACTGGATCAATCTGATGGAAGTTGTAATGGAAAATTGCCAAAGGACACCAAATTTCTATCATTGTGGGGAATAAATTTACAGTAGTCTTTAATGATAAATCTACAGTAATATATAAAGGTAAAGGTTTCCCTTTGACATTAAGTTTAGTTGAGCCCAACTCTGGGTGGTGGTGCTCATCTCCATTTCTAAGCCGAAGAGCCGGCATTGTCCATAGATGCCTCCTACCTAGAGTAATATATAAAATGTCAATTTATGTAACTCTCTAGCATGCACTGCTGAATATACTATATAGTGTCCAAGAGAAGTAACTATACAATGGCTTATAGAGCAGCAGCATAAGGAGGAGCACAAGTTCATTATTTTTAATAAACTATTCAAAAAAGTCAATAGGTATTAATACAGATTGAGTATTCTTCATGAATACCAAAATCCTCCCCAATCCAAAATTGTCCACATGGCTGGCTGAGATAGTGACACCTTTCTTAACAAAATTTGTGCACACTTCAATGTGTACAAATTTTGTTGCATGCATAAATTTCCTCAAAATATTGTGCACTATGAGCCTTTAGTATCTGTTGAAGTTTTGGTCCTAGGCTCTCCCAATGCTCAAATCCCATTGTGTACAATAGCACTAAAAAATGGTATTCTTTATATAAAATGGCAAAATCAAAGTTTTCTTTTAGGATTTAAAAAGAAATGTTTTCAAGCCATAAATGCAGAATCCATGGCTATAAGAGCTGACAATATAGAATTACCTTCAGACTATGTGTATAAGATGTACATGAAACATTTGTGTTTGGGCTATCTCCATGTTATCTCATTATGCTGTGGGATGAATGGTATCCTGAGATGTTTTTTAAGCAACTGATTTTAAAGTGGATATAAGCAATTTTAATGTTTGTGTATATTTATGGTTTTATGTCCTGGCATAAAACCATATGCCAGGGGACTCCACCCTGAGTCCCCTGCAGGGTAAGAAGGGCAGAATATAAAGGTTTCAAATAAATAAATAAATAAATAAATAAATAATGTATATGCAAATGCCAGTATTCCAACATCTGAAAATAAATCTGAAATCCCAAGTGCTTCTGTTCTCAAGTATTTTGGATAAGAGCTACTCAACCTGTAGTTATCTTGCAATTTAACTAAACATCAGCTTCCAAAGAACACAAAAATCAACAACCCTGTTTTAACACAATCCACTAAGTTATTATTTAAGATACTTGCTAAGAATGAGAAAAATTCTGGCCTGTTGCCAGAATTTGGCCTGTTGCTACTTTTCCCATTTCAATCAAATAGATTTCTGCTGCTGCCAAGTTGCAGCATGCAGTGATTCACACTGTGTGTTTCAGATGAGCAGTTATTCAGCTAGAGTTAATTGGTACAAACAAAGCCATAGGTATGCTAGTCATATAGCTGAACTAGCATCAAACTATATGCTTGCCATACTGTTCAATGAGCACTGAACTAGTCATTCTCTACTAGTGTTAGTCTTTTCATGAGTTGTCTCCCAAAACTGCTCTCTGGAGTCTTCTGGGTTGATTGTACTCTATACACTTTTTCTGATAGAAACAATTATGGCATTTACAATTCTCCACAGAGATTAAATCACATGACTCTTTTTGAAGCAAATGTATGTTGCTGTAACACATCATAACAAATGTGGCAGTTAACTGCAATTTTCCCATCCCAAAAGGCTATGGAAGAGCAAAAGTATTTCCATATATGAAATACAACTTGAAGGCACATAATATATACACATAGAGGCATTGCTCTCCTGCTTAGTTTTTATTCCCAATGTGCTATTCTTATGCATGAGATGTAAACCATGATATGCAGCTTATGAAAACATTAATCAAGTTTGTTACTTGGCTCTTTGTTTCTGATCTCATTGTTTATATTCCTGTTAGTGGGATCTGGACACCATTGATGCAATTCAGGCTGATTTCACTTGGCTCTTCATTTCTTATCTCCTAAGATTATTGCCAATTTTTTTCAGTTTTCTCTCTGTGATTGTGAGGGCATCTCCCCCACCTTTGGAAATAAAATCTCAGTTGAATTATAAAACAGGCTGCTAAGAAACAGAAAGGCAAGAGTTGCAGTGGTAGAGATGTAATATATTCCTTTACTATGGGGGGGACTACACTTTCTAAAACATTTTAGAGATCTGTTTTGCTTAGGCATGAATGCTCATCTCAAAAGAGAGAAAAACAGGTGGGAATATTTGTCTGCAATGTAATATATAAAATGAGATAATCTTAAGCAAAAAGATTCATGTCACTCAGCACTGCAGCATTTGGTAACAGAAGGGATGATAAAGACAATCAGATAATTGCATAATGCGCATGGAAAAGATATTTCATTGTTATGCACATTGCACATCTCGATTCTGGATCTCTTTCTTTATCATCTTGTGGAAGATTCCAAATAGGTTGTGTAAGCTCAATATAAGTGCAAGCTCATTTGAGATTTGCAGGTGACAACATAAGATGAATAAAATGTATTCCAGCATTACTAAAAGCCCTATATTTACTGTTGATATATAAAACATACCTGTACAAACGTCAGTGCTGCTTTTTGTAGTAAACATTCAGCATAACAGATTTCTGCATGCATTTCCTCTATTAAACAAGAAAAAACCTTGATGTAATAAAAAATACATTACCAGTACAATAGCATTGAATGCGATTAAATGCCCAAACACAAAATAAAAGCATTTCCATAGTTACTACTAAATCCAACATTAATTCTACCTAGAATAGACCTGTTGAATTCAAAACAACAAAAGTTAGTTGTGACAAGTCCCATTCATTCTGTAGGATCTATCCCATGCGTGGGCAACCTTCAGTCTTCCAAGTGTTATGGACCGACACCTACAATTCCTAACAGACGGTAAACTGGATGATTTCTGGGAGTCGAAGTACAAAACACCTGGAGGGCCAAAGTTTGACCACGCCTGATCTATCCTCCAACATCGAAATCAGCCCTTCAACCATATGTGTTCATTGAAAGTGCCGAATGGTTTAACTTATTTTTCATTATTAGTCCACTATCATTGCCTCCAGTTGTTAATCAAAACATCTCATTCAAACTTGTCTATTGTATTTACTGCCCTATTTGATGGTATTGTTTTTGTGAAATATTGAATGGGGTCTTTCATCATATTCCTGGACACCAGCCTGCTATCTGCAGGATGAAAGGCAGTTTCAAAATACAATAAATTCAAAGATAATTTTAAAATTTTACCAAGTGAGGGATTAGGAGTGAGAGAACAGTGGTTTATCTAAGGCCAGCTAGTAACAGAATTTGAGGCAAAATTTATACCAGGAACTCCATGTCTTGGAAAAACTTAGAAAACAGACCCACATGTATAAATAAGAATTAACTCAAGAAAATGGGATTGTTTCAGAGATCTTGTATTTAAACATTTAGAAAACAAGAATAAATAAGCTTATGAAGGTAAAAGAGCAGTATGCCATTCATATTTCCATAGGAAACCCTTGTTTCAAAAAATGACAATCAAGAACATTCAGTCAAATGTTTTCAGTTAAACAATGTCTTATACTATTACAAATTCCTTTTGCAGTATAATCTCTTGAAGGATAATAAAACCAAACACTCTTGCTCTTTCATCCCACAATGTTTCACACAAAATAAGCTGTGCAGGTTTTTCACCAAATTAACACCAATTACAATAATTTTTGAAAGAAGACATTTCACTCTTTTTGCTTTTCTTACCTTCACTCAGCTGATCGACAGTCTGCTTCGAAACTAAGCTGGACAGTGATTCTACCACTGTGTTTCTTTTCCTGAATCTGTATTAAGAGGAACAGGAAAGAGACAAGCATTTTAACTAAAGGAACTGAATCATTAACATTATATATCACAAAAACTTTGCTGAAGCTAAGAAAAAAGGGAACCTCAGAAACAACAAAAAGCCAACTCCAAACAGACAAATCTCTAAACAAAACAGGGTACAACATTATTCCATCAACAACTTCTAATAATGCCTGTATTGATATATTCAAAATTTACAAAATCATTTGCACTAATCCTAGCACCAATGCAAAAAAGTGTCTGGTACTATTCTAACAGCAAAACGTCTCCGTATTTGTGTTAATTAGAGGGTAGACTTAATGATAAAGTTTGATTCTGGCATGGAAAGGAGAGTGATCTACCACAATTGGGCCCATCTCTGCTTCCCAATCAAACTAAGTAGGACCACTTTCTACTTTTGGGTCTCTCCCCTGCTTCAACAGTTAAATTATGTAGCCCTGCTAAAATGTGGCCTTTATCTATATACAGTATTTATTTGTCGTGTCAGAGCAACCAGTCCATTATATTACATTTCTAACATAACAAAGCAAACAAACAGAAAAATACACAACGTGTGAGTTTGGTAGTTGGTTAAATGTCCTTTGACCAGTATCTGGCCACTTGGAGTGCTTCCGGTGTTGCTGCAAGAAGGTCCTCCATTGTGCATGTGGCAGGGCTCAGGTTGCATTGCAGCAGGTGGTCAGTGGTTTGCTCTTCTCCACACTCGCATGTCAAGGATTCCACTTTGTAGCCCCATTTCTGAAGGTTGGCTCTGCATCTGTGGTGCCAGAGCGCAGTCTGTTCAATGCCTTCCAAGTCGCCCAGTCTTCTGTGTGCCCAGGAGGGAGTCTCTCATTTGGTATCAGCCATTGGTTGAGGTGCTGGGTTTGAGCCTGCCACTTTTGGACTCTCGCTTGCTGAGGTGTTCCAGCGAGTGTCTCTGTAGATCTTAGAAAACTATGTCTAGATTTAAGTCGTTGGCGTGCTGACTGATACCCAAACGGGATGAGCTGGAGATGTCTCTGCCTTGGTCCTTTCACTATTGGCTGCTACTTCCCGGCGGATGTCAGGTGGTGCAATACCGGCTAAGCAGTGTCATTTCTCCAGTGGTGTAGGGCGCAGACACCCCGTGATAATGCGGCATGTCTCATTAAGAGCCACATCCACTGTTTTAGTATGGTGAGATGTGTTCCACACTGGGCATGCATACTCAGCAGCAGAGTAGCACAGCGCAAGGGCAGATGTCTTCACTGTATCTGGTTGTGATCCCCAGGTTGTGCCAGTCAGCTTTCGTATGATATTGTTTCTAGCACCCACTTTTTGCTTGATGTTCAGGCAGTGCTTCTTGTAGGTAAGAGCACGGTTCAGAGTGACTCCCAGGTATTTGGGTGCGCTGCAATGCTCCAGTGGGATTCCTTCCCAGGTGATCTTCAGAGCTCGGGATGCTTGTCTGTTCTTGAGATGAAAGGCACATGTCTGTGTTTTGGATGGGTTGGGGATCAGCTGGTTTTCCCTGTAATAGGCAGGAAACCTGCTACAAAACAGGAGCTTTTTTGTTGAGTTCCAGGGCCAGAGAAGCAGATGGCGGAAACAGAAGAATGGCCTGCCTCAGGGGAGCGTGCTTGCTCCATCCATGTTCAACATCTACACAAATGACCAGCCACTGCCAGAAGGGACAGAGAGTCTCATCTATGCTGATGATCGTGCCATTACTGCTCAAGCAGGGAGCTTTGAGACTGTAGAACAGAAGCTCTCCGAAGCTCTAGGTGCTCTTACTGCCTACTACAGGGAAAACCAGCTGATCCCCAACCCATCTATATACAGTAGTCCCGCTTAACTCAAGCTTTGCTGATTTGCCCGGATCCACAGGTGTTTCTCTAGGCAGCAACACGCAGCAGGCCTCTCCGTGCGCTGGGCACCCACCAGGAGGGGCAAGACACAACCAGCACAGGCTGGACGCTGTGCTCGACAGGAAAAGTCTGCGCCGGCCACATCTTGCCCCTTTCAGCCCAACAACAACAAAAGTGCAGCCACGCTCCCAAACAAGTGGCACAGAATTGAACTTTTTACAGATTTAATTTCCAACAAGGTTGTTACTGTAAGTTCATTTTATGCAATTCTATCTTTATTTATAGTCAATTTTAGCAATGTCATAATGTATTGAAAACACTGACTACCAAAACAATTTTAGCAATGTTTTTGTAGTCAATGTTTTCAATACATTATGATGTTTTGGTGCTAAATTCGTAAATACAGCAATTACTACATAATGTTACCATGTATTGGACTGCTTTTTCTGTCGATTTGTTGTAAAACATGATGTTTTGGTGTTTATTTGTAAAATCATAACATAATTTGATGTTTAATGGGCTTTTCCTTAATCCCTCCTTATTATCCAACATTTTTGCTTATCCAACTTTCTGCTGGCCTGTTTATGTTGGATGAGCGAGACTGTACTGTGGATACCCATTATTCCACCTGCCATCTCAGAATAAATTTTCAAAGTAAGCTCACAACCTCTGATTTTTAAGATGGAGGAGCAATCGATAGTTATTGGAATTTAACAGAACCCATACATAAGGGTAGCATTCTCCATGGTGGGAGAAAGAACTCTTTGTCTGTTTAAGCGAGTGTGAATGTTGCAGTTAGGAAGCTTGAATAGAACTGAGTAGCTATGAAGCTGTAAAGTCAATCAGTGAGGGTATCTGCATAGAGGTAGCCTGGGCCTTGTTGCTTGGAGGCATCCTCTGTTTGGGAGGTGTTAACTGGCACTAGATTGTTTGCTATCTGGACTATTCCTGTTTCTGAATGGTATTATTTATTTTTTGTCTTAACTCTGGTGCTTTTTAATACTGGTAACCAGATTTTGTTCATTTTGATGGTTTCCTTCTTTCTGTTGAAACTGTCCATATGCTTGTGGGTTTCAATGGTTTCTCTGTGTAGTCTGACATAATTGTTGTCAGAGTGGTCCAGCATTTCTGTGTCCTCACATAATATTCTGTGTCCAGGTTGGTTCATCAAGTGCTCTGCTATAGCTGACTTCTCCGGTTGAATTAATCTGCAGTGTCTTTTGTGTTCTTTGATTCGTGTCTGGGCGCTGCGTTTGGTGGTCCCTATGTAGATTTGTCCACAGCTGCATGGTATATGGTAGACTCCTGCAGTGGTTAGAGGATTCCTCTTATCCTTTGCTGAACTTAGAGCTCCCGGTGGCACAGTGGGTTAAACCGCTGGGCTGCTGAAACTTGGTGACCAAAAGGTTGCAGGTTCGAATCCAGGGAGCGGCATGAACTCCTGCTGTCAGCCCCAGCTTCTGCCAACCTAGCAGTTCAAAAACATGCAAATGTGAGTAGATCAATAAATACCGCTCCGGTGGGAAGGTAACGGCGCTCCATGCAATCATGCCAGCCACATGACCTAGGAGGTGTCTATAGACAATGCCAGCTCTTCAGCTTAGAAATGGAGATGAGCACCAACCTCCAGAGTCAGTCATGACTGGACTGTCAGGGAAAAACCTTTACCTTACCTTTACCTTTGCTGAACGTAGCATTTGTTGAATTTTCTTGGTAGGTCTGTAGATTGTTTGCTAGTTGTGTTTCTTCATCAACTTCCTTATGCAGTCAGTGGTTCTCTTGATGTATGGTAAGAACACTTTTCCTCTTGGTGGATCTTTGCCTTTATTCTCATGACTTGTTCTTGGTCTTGTTGCTCTTCTGATGTCTGTTGTGGAATACCCATTAGCCTATAGAACCCAGTTTAGGTAGTTCAGTTCACCTTGGAGGAGGTGGGGTTCGCAAATCCTGTTTGCACAGTCTACCAGGGCTTTAATTTTGCTTCTTTTTTTACCCGGGCGATGGCTGCAGTTTTCATGTAGCTATCTTATCAATGTGTGTAGGTTTTCTGTAAACTGTGCGGCCCAATGGTTGATTTGGTTGGCGGACAACTAGGGCATCTAAAAATCGTAGTTTTCCTGCATTTTCTTTTTCCATGGTAAATTGGATGTTTGTGTGGATGTTGTTGATGTGGTCTAGGAACTTGTTTAGTTCTTCTTCTTCATGGTTCCAAAAGGTGAAAGTCCATCCACATATCGGAACGATATAGTGGGATTTTTGTGCTGTGTTCTGGGCTTGTTTCTCAAAGTGTTCCATATAAAAATTTGCTATGACAGGGCTAAGAGGGCTCCCCATGGCTACATCATCTTTCTGTTCCTAGAATTCATTGTCTCACTGGAAGTAGCTTGTGGTGAGGCAGTACTGAAACAGGGCTGTGATGTCTTCAGGGAAATTCCGGTTAATGAATGTGATGGTGTCCACATCAAAGTTGATCAGTTTGTCACTGGTGTTGAGTTTGAGATTGCTGATTTTTCTATGAAGTGGGCTGAGTCTTTAATGTAAATTGTAGTGATCCCAATATAGGTTTGTAGTTGTTCGGCCAGAAATGTTGTCAAATTGTATGTGGGGGATCCAATGGTGCTCATGATGGGTCTGAGCGGAATGGAGTCCTTCTGGATTTTTGGGAGTCTATAAAACCTAGGAGAGAGGTCTTCTGATTTGCATAGATGTTGGCGTATGTTAAGATGAATTGAGGAGTTCTTAAAGTATTGGTTTTTCTGTTGATTTTGTTGGTTGGGTTCTGTTTTAGTTTTTTGTATGTTGTGGAATCCAGGAATTGTCTGTTTTTTTTTTCTTTGTATTGTTCTGTTTTCATTATTATCATAGCATTCCTCTTGTCTGCTGGGAGAACGATGAATTCTGGATCTGAATTGAGGTCTTTGATGGCTTTTGTTTCTTTCCTTCTGCAAATTGTAATGCGGGAATTGCAATATGGTTAATAGACACTAATACCTTTTAAAAAAAAACATTCATGAAATAGTTTCCACATTGTGTTGTAAATAGTTTGTGCTGACATCCTTTTGGAAACAATAAGTGTTCACAACTTCCTCCAAGTAGTCTCATAACTCTAAATCCTTCCTTTCAATATCCATGCAGTTAAATTCAACCATACAGGATTTGGACAACACATTGGGCTATGTGCCAGTATGTTTGTCCTTTTTGGTACCCTCTTTGGTGGTTCCACTGACAACTGAATTAGCAGCGTATACCAAGGTCATTTGGGCTAGTGCTATGCTATTAATACTACATGAGTCCTTTCTTGCTTAACCTTTAGAAGGGTTCTTTAAATAATCAAAGCTCTCTGCATTTCTTCCTCAATCTACTGAAAGCTATACCTAAAAGTGTACTGTTCTTGACAGTAACTTTTTAGAGTTTAAGGGTGTTAAACATTCACTTTCCATTAATTTCCTAAATATCTCAGGTGGAATCTCTATTCTGTAAGACACTTGTTTTCTAGGGGTTTATACTGTCTTTTCATCTCTTATGTTTGTACTTGGAGACTACTACTTATCTGATGAATTTTGCAATCCTGGTGCATGCAAATCTCTTTTAACAAATTCCACACTTGACTGATTAGTTAACTTATTTTTAAATATCCCACAAATGGTGGTGTCTTATGCTTCTCTGGTATGTACAATTACTCCATTTGTTGAAGCATGCCCTTTAAATTCCTTGTTTCCTTGTTCTCGTCTCGTGCTCAACTAAAGCTGCTGATGAAAGTGAAGCCTGGTTTACCCTTTGACTTAGAATTTGTAATTTTAAAATGGGATTTGGAACCAAATTTAGGAAACTTTGGGTGCATCTACACTGTAGAATTAATGCAGTTTGACACCACAAATTGTCATGGCTCAATGCTATAGAGTACTGGGAGTACATCTTCACCTCTGTTGTTGATCCCATATCTTCCACCATTTTATTGCTAGAGGTTAAGAAAAATTTCTTAAGTTCTCCATGCCTTCTGTATAAGAGACATGCTGGTCAGCGGCATGACAGATTTCTGTAACTTTCTGTGGTCCTTAACCAACTGGCCAGCCATCAGAAGAACTGGATCTTTTAAGATTTGTGGTATTTTTCTTTCTTTCCTATCCGCTAGCTTCTTTCTATTCTTTTGATATTATTAATTACTAGCTTGGATACCTGGCATTCCCTGGGTTATTTGAAAACGTTGATTTTTTTTAATTGTACAAAATACATAAGTTTGTGCATGAACTAAAACTCACATCATGCCAGGTTAACCCTGAAAAACTCCTTCAGTACTTAAAGTTTGTTATGTTGGGCAACTTTGCTCTGATGTATCATCGGTGGGGTTCAGTATGATCTCTGGCTGTAGGGTAAACTACAACTCCCACTATGGTGAGCCAGTCCCCTCAAACCCCTCCAGTAGCTTGACTTAGTCATGGAGGTTCTGTGTGCCAAGTTTGGACCAGGTTCATCATCTATGGAGGTCATAGTTTCTCTGGTTGTGGGTGAACTAGAACTCCCAGAAAAGAAGGTCAGTTATGCATCTTACTGTATTGTAAGAGGTTTAGCACAGCTGGTAAAATATCAGCAATTGTAAGATCTATCAACCAAAAGGTTGCAAGTTCAAAGCCGTGCGTTGGCTTGAGCGGCCAACTGTCAGCCCTAGCTCATTGTTTACCTAAGCAATTCAAAAACAGCTTTAGCTGTGATTAGAAAAATTAGGTACCGCTAAAAAATGCGGGTGAAGTGTTTTACGACGCCATAAAGAAGGAAATATAGGTTGCTTACCTGTAAACATAGTTTCCCGAGTGGTAGCCTGTGAATTTACACATGTGGTAATACTTCCTGCACGCGCAGGCAGCAATGGTGTTTTACGACGCCATAAAGAAGGAAGATTAGAGAATGCTGGGCGACCAAAAGGAAGGAGGAAGTCCTGACGGCTCTTCGTCATAGAGGATGGAGCAACAGCACCACCTGGACTCAAGCCCAACCTTCCATGACACCTCCTGTTCTGTTCTGTCTGTTACTGTATTGTCTATACAAAAGCGGCATTGAATGTTTGCCGTGTATGTGTACTGTAATCCGCCCTGAGTCCCCTTTGGGGTGAGAAGGGCAGAAAATAAAGTGTTGTTGTTGTTGTTGTTGTTATTATTATTATTATTATTATTATTATTATTATTATTATTATGATGTTCTTGTTGTATTATGCTCTTGTTATGTTCTTGTTGGTGCACAATTTAGTGCATTGTGAGCCACCTTGAGGCCCTTTGGGGAGATGGTGGCAGAGTATACAGTAAATAAAATTTCATTCATTAATTAATTTGTCAACAATGTTAAACCAATGCAATTTCAGACTGCATCAACAGTAATAGTACCACTTTATGCTGCTTTGGTCAGTCCTCATCTGGAATATTGCATTCAGTTCAGGGCACCACCACTCAAGGAAGATATTCACATGGTGGAATAGGTGCAAGACCTATTTTAAAACCGCTTTTTTCTAGTTATTTTCTCATATATAGCTCCCTCTTATTCCTTGATGAACATACACGTGATCATATAAAATGCTAAAACTTTTTAAAAACATAAAACTTTTTCATACTTACTTTTGGCAAGTCTGTAATGCCTCTTTCATAGTAGCAATCCCCATTTGGATATCCTGTTGCTCAAATGTCATCGCAGCCTGCATGACTAAAATAGTGCTATATCCCAGTGCGTGGTACATACTGCCTTTAGACCTGTTTTGAAATTAAATAAACAAAAATAAAAATGTTTTTTTAAAGTTCCATATTCTTCAAAGATAAAGATCAATACATTGTGCAGACTAGGGAGCTGTTTCCCCCCTCACTCCCACCCCCCAAAGAGCTGCATTTCTTTGTAAAACGCCTTACAACTCTTGATTTTGGTGCCCAGTCACGCTGGCGAACACACATTTTGGTGTGTCAAATGTTAGACCTGTTTTGTGGTATATTTTACCTGCTGATTTTAAAAAATGGCACCAGTTTTCCCCATCAGCTCTAGTTTTTGAGCTACAGAACATATGCCATATACCAGTTGTCATCTGCTTGCCCAAAGAAAATTATGACAACCATGTATTGTCGAAGGCTTTCACAGCTGGAATCACTGGGGTGTTGTGTGGTTTCCTGAAGATGCCAACCACAAACACCCCATGATAACCATATCTAAGAAGCTAAATCTGATACGGTCTATCCAATGTGATTTTCCGAATTAGTGCACCTCAAATAACCCCAGAAATAAGCCTAAAAACCAAGACACCACAACTTGTTTTTGGTTGGGCTGTGTAATATTATAATGGATGGAGCTTATGCATTGTCTCTCTACTCTCTGAGTACAAATTAAACATCAAATCTTAAATAAGGTAGTCCAAATTCTACCTAAGTAAAAATATAGGTCACTCAAAGGGGGGGGGGGGGGKTAAAGAAACAGTTACCAAATACTTGTTTTGGAACATGAAAAGAAACAGAATACAGCAATGGCTAGCATATTCAGAGCCTTAAATTAATCTCCGGCTACCAGATGGCATGTCTTACAACATCTTTCTGTACAGCCTTGTGCAAGAAAACAGACTCACCATGGACGCAGCAATTCCAGAGCTTCTGAGAATTTGTTGTTTAGAAATAAATTCAGTGCCATTGAACATTCTTCCAAAGCACACTTAAGATCCATGCTAGTGGCCCTAATAAAGTACACAGCGGGGGGAAATAGTTTAGATTTTATATTATGTTTACACAACCACTTCAGCATTCAATTGCTACAGAACATTTCAGCTGCTTGATGTTAAAAGATTTTAATCCTCTGTTCTACATACATATATTGTCAAATCTATGTCTATAGATATAAGAAATACACTGAAGACAACATTCCAAGACATTTTACAAACTTGCTGAGAAACATGTTTTTAAGGACATGAGTATAGGGAATAATTGACTATTCTAAAGCCTTTGACTGTGTGGATCATAATAAATTGTGGCAAGTTCTTGGTGGGATGGGCATACCAAGCCACCTTGTCTCTCTCCTGAGGAATCTGTACAAGGACCAAGTAGCAACAGTAAGAACTGACCACGGAACAACAGACTGGTTCAAGATTGGGAAAGGCGTACGGCAAGGCTGCATACTCTCACCCAACCTTTTTAACTTGTATGCAGAACACATCATGCGATGTGCGGGGCTTGATGAATGCAAAGCTGGGGTGAAAATTGCTGGAAAAAACATTAACAACCTCAGATATGCAGATGACACCACTCTGATGGCCGAAAGCGAGGAGGAGCTGAGGAGCCTTCTAATCAAGGTGAAAGAAGAAAGCGCAAAAGCTGGGTTGCAGCTAAACATCAAAAAAACCAAGATTATGGCCACAAGAATGATTGACAACTGGAAATTAGAGGGAGAAAATGTGGAGGCCGTGACAGACTTTGTATTTCTAGGTGCAAAGATTACTGCAGATGCAGACTGTGGCCAGGAAATCAGAAGACGCTTACTTCTTGGGAGGAGAGCAATGTCCAGTCTCGATAAAATAGTAAATAGTAGAGACATCACACTGGCAACAAAGATCCGCCTAGTCAAAGCCATGGTATTCCCTGTAGTAACCTACGGATGTGAGAGCTGGACCTTAGGGAAGGCTGAGCGAAGGAAGATAGATGCTTTTGAACTGTGGTGTTGGAGGAAAGTTCTGAGAGTGCCTTGGACTGCCAGAAGATCCAACCAGTCCATACTTCAGGAAATAAAGCCCGACTGCTCATTGGAGGGAAGGATACTAGAGACAAAGTTGAAGTACTTTGGCCACATCATGAGGAGACAGGAAAGCCTAGAGAAGACTATTATGCTGGGGAAAGTGGAAGGCAAAAGGAAGAGGGGCCGACCAAGGGCAAGATGGATGGATGGCATCCTTGAAGTGACTGGACTGACCTTGAAGGAGCTGGGGGTGGTGACAGCCGACAGGGAGCTCTGGCGTGGGCTGTTCCATGAGGTCACGAAGAGTCGGAGACGACTGAACGAATGAACAACAAATAGGGAATAATTTTACTAGTATGTTGAAAATAGATTTTCAATCAGTGTGTGGAAAATTGTAGAGTTTGATTGTTTTCATTCCATAAGCGTTCATCTTCCCCTATAAGAAATGCATTCATTTTGCCTGGTGTGAGATTGCCAAACCAAGTTGAAACAAAATGCACTCTTGCTTTTGCCATCAGGCACAGTATCAAGGGGGGCTGGGAGGTCATCTCCTATCTCTCGGGATATATAGGCAGTTCCTGAGTTACAAACATCCAACTTACCAACAACTCAGTTAAAATGGGGGTGAGACAACAGCAAGTGAGAGAAATCTACTCCTAGGAAGGGAAATTCACTCTTGAGTTACCATGGGAAAAGATGTCTCAACTGAAGCTTTCTCACCAATCCTTGTTTCCACAAGAAGCCAAATTTCTCAATATCCAATTATCATAAGGACAAAAAGTGAGGTGAACAAGGGGCACAGACAGCAAAACAAATTTTCTGAACAAGGGCACAGACAGCAAAACAAGAACCACAAGAGTGTTAACATTTCCCTATTCCATCCAAAGCTTGTGTGTGTGTCTGTGTGTTTGTGTGTGTATGTGGCTGGAGTAACACTTTAAAAATTTACCTTTTCCAACTTACATACAAATTTAAGAAGAAACCTACAGAACTTATCTTGGGGAAAGTCTATATAATCACTGGGAACCTGGATGAAAGACAAGTAGTTGAAAGAGGTTCACTTTGTCTTCTCTTCCAGAAAATACACACTATTCCAAGGGCTGGTGAGTTGTGTGTATTTGTTACTATATTCTAAGATAACCTTGAGTAGTATTAGGCCCTTGTAATCTTTCTCAGTTCTCTACATTTGATGAACAAGTAAAATAGATTTTAATTAATAAATAAATGTATCACTGTAGCTAAATCATTTACAACAGACGTTAACTACAAAATGAAATTCACTTATTTGATAGATAAATTGAGTAATTTGGGCACTAAGAAAGCAATTCCAATTTCGGAAAAAAATGAAAAACACTCTTATATTGTACTTGGAATACTTCATTCAACAGCTGTTGCTTGAACTCACTTATAGTCTCATTCCTTATTCTCTCCGTTCTCATTTCCACCATCTCTCACAAATATACTATTTTGTTTCAGATCTTTTAATAAGGAATCCCTTCTAAACAACAATTAAGACAGGATGGGGAGGGCTTCTCCTGACAAGCAAAAACTCGCGGAAGTATCAGATTTGCTCCTGTATACATATCTTTTCTTTTGGAGATCCTAATAAATGTTTTCTTCATACTGATATATTTTCCTGGAAACTCTGGCATTACAAACTCTGGCATTCCATTCCTACTTCGATTTTCCTGCTTCTTGGTAGGAGGTTGGGTTGGATGGCCCATGAGGTCTCTTCCAACTCTATCATTCTATGATTCACCAGCCAGTTTAAATTAATCTGGGTATTTTCTAAAATACTGGCAGTCTATTTGCATTATTCCAGCACTAGCTAGATCGCAGCCTCCAGTAAAAAAAAATGTTACAATTGTTTCCAGGAGATTGATTCAACAGAGATCAAGCAAAGCTAAGAGGAATAATTGCACCAAAATAAAATGATGCCATGTTTAATGAGTGAACGTCTCTAAAACACGGTCATACTTTCACTGTAACGTCTAAAGACAAGCGGAGTATCCCTCATCTGAAATGCTCAGAAGTGCTTTGGATTTAGTTTTATTTATTTATTTATTTTTATTCTGGTGTATGTGTGTATATGTGTGTGTGTATACCACATACACATAAATAATTGAGGAACACTTTATAGAATACTTTAAATCAGCAGTTCCCAAACCTTTTCATGGAGCCTTTCTGAAAACTTTTATTTTCCATAGAACGCTAACTCTACCCCTGACTTGTTTAATTAACATTTATATTCTAGATCATTTTATGCTCATTCAAATATATTTCCCAATATGCAGGAAATTATATAACATCTACTATGGATAATATCTCAGTATCCCATTTTTTTTCATCTCAAAAACTGGAAAGAAAGAAAAAATAAAAAAAGAAATGTGAAAACTCTACATGTGAATCAATAAAATGTTGAAATGAGAAGTCAGTAACTACATATCTGGTAGTACAAAATAGCTATTACAGAGAGTTTAAATAAAATAGTTGGCCTCGTGTGGTTTTATTTTAATTTAAAATTAATTTTAAATTCAAATTTTAAGATTTTTCACAGAAGCTCTACAATGCTTTTGCAGAACCCTACGATTCCACAAAACAATTGGGGAAATGCTATTTTAAATACTTTTTTCATGAAACACAGTTTGTGTCATTGAGGGCCCGTTATATTCCAGATTATCTGGCAGTGTGGATTCATATAATTCAGTTTAAAGCAAAAAACCTAGGATCAGATCTTGGGATATACATTAGGGTCTATCTGGAAGGGACCTGAATCATCATTGAATCATTAGAAAACAAAGGTGTCACTATCTCAGCCACCTATGTGGTCAATTTTGGAATATTTTGAAATTTGGAACAACAATAACAACAATAACAACAGCAACAACAACAACAACAACAGCCTTTATTTATATTCCGCACTTCTCCCCTAAGGGACTCATAGCGGATTACAGCATTTACATACATAGGCAAACATTCAATGCCTTTACAATAATATACAATGAGACACACAAACACAAACCAAGGCAGAGGCTTCTCCTTTAATTTCCAGCTTCTGGAGGTTGTGCTCATCTCTGGCTCTGCAGAGGTGCTTTCTCTATTTTTAAGGCGAGGAGCCTGTGTTGTCATCTCCTGATTGTGTGGCCGGCAAGATTGCTTGGAGTGTCTCTTTTGCCTATTCCCGCCAAAGTGGTACCAATTTATCCACTCACATTTGCATGTTTTTTGAACTACTAGGTTGGCAGGAGCTGGAGCTGACAGACTGGAGCTCACCCCATCTTGTAATTCAGCCAACCTTCAGATCAGCAGTTCAGCAGCACAAGGATTTAACCCATTGCGCCACTGCGGCCTCTCTTTTACATGGCCATCATGTCTCCTCTCAGCCTTCTCATCTGCAAGCTAAACATGCCCAGCTCTTTAAGATGCTCCTCATTGATCATTTTAGTTTCCCTCCTCTGGACACATTTCAGCTTGTCAATGTCTCCCCCCAATTGCAGTGCCCAGAATTGGACACAGTGTGATTCCAGGTGTGGTCTGACCAAGGCAGAGCAGAGGGGAAGCATGTCCTTCCTGGATCCAGACACTAGACTCCCACCTATGCAGGCTAAAATGACGCTCAACCTGTAATAATACTAACAACAGCAGCAACAGCAGCGACAATTCCTCAGCGGGCATGAGAGGAAGAAGAGCAAAGTGAAAAAAGCTGCAGAAAATTTGGGACATTTTAAGAAAGATTTTGGATACAAATCTGGGATTATACAATTAAAGTCAAAACAAAAAAAAGTTGAAATTCTTAACAGTTCTTGAAGCTTTTTTTACTTTTTGGTTGAGACCAGAGCTGTGTGAGACTAAATGTGAGCCATGGTATTGCCATCTTCTGGTATTTTTAAGACTACAACCTTCCTTTGCTACTTGATAGCCGCAAAACATTACATTTGAAATAGTGTTAACTACATTGATACCTAAACAGGTTCCCACTTATGATTTGGAAACAGGATATTTCACATT